CGCGAATTTTTCGCGCGACAGATTGAGCCGTGTCGGAATCTGACGCCTAGAGGTGCCGCATGCCGCGCGCGAAAATTTCGCACCCTGAACTGTGCAGACGTATCTTGGCCTCAATCATTCGAAATCATTCATTTTTCGGCTTATTTTTAAAAACATGTCCTCAAAGACTTTCTAGAATTTTTCATGAGAAACAGAGTTTACAAAGGCGTTCCAAAAAGCTTTTTTCAGCAATCGGTGTTCCTCATGACATGGTCATTGCTGTCCATTTCAATGGGCGTCTGTGGAGGATTGGCAATACTCGGATCGGACCTTGATTCCGTCAGGTACAGAACTTTTAAATAAAAAATACTGTTCATATTTGATAAGTTTACTTCCAGTATGGGATGTATTGTCATGGCTATTGGATTGGCTGTAGACTACTCCGTACATATTTGTTACCGATATCACCGCTCCGAATGTACGAGATCGTCTGATAAAGTGAGCTTTCTTGTCGGATTACGGTTTTAAATCGTCAGTACCTTTCGTATTTACAGCACTCAAATGGATATTTTCTGACAGTTTTAAATACTTGAGTTTGAACTCCCTTTCTAATTTCGGTTTCAGGTTCGTGACACTTTGTGCTCAGTAGGTTGGCCCATTACGCAGGCGGTGACATCAACTCTGTTCGGACTGGCATCCACAGCGTTTGTCCCTGCTTACCTTGTCAGGGTGTTCTTCCAGACTGTATATCTGGTCAACTGTATAGGTATGACCTTCATTCTTGTTTATAAACTGTTTCTACAGATAAGGGAGCCTGTGGTATGTCATCACGAACTTTCGTCAACTCCGTGCGGTTTTTTTGGGAGGAAAATTTTTATTCCTTTTAGGCGCACTCCCCATGACCTTACTCCAAGATCAAAGTGGCCTTTCACATGGAGGCGGTTAACTGTCTCAGAAATACAATTAGCGGTGAACTGTTCCAAAGCCAATTCAGAGAAGGCATCACGTGGCCAAACGAAGCAGTCTGCTGCTGCCATGATAACATTAGGTTCAGAAAAGGTTTTTAGGCGTCTAGAGCAAGTTACTCCATATTTCACGTTCAATTCGCCTTCAAATAGGCATACATGCGTCGTATTAGAACAGCTAGTTTCCCTTTTGTCGTGTCGTCTGTGCTCCATTACACTTACGCTTTCACAAGAGCGTCTTCAAATAAGCGCTGTTGGCTAGGAGATAGGAAAGCTTCCCTTAAAACTTGGACTTTCTTCGAAATCAGCTGTTAAAGTTGGCTCCGTTTATTTTTTTCACCAATTATCCCGTTCGCCCTCCATTTCGTCGTGTCGTCTGCGCTCTCTGACATTCACGCTCTCACACTCGCACATTGGAGCAAACTCTCCTCGCAACTCGTACACCCTTTAGAATCAGCTGCAAAAGGATTCCATATCGCTGGGTTCCGCCAGTCGTTTTAATAATTTTAACGCCCGTAGCATTCATAATATCCATTTTCCCGTCGTGGGTACCACGTCGAAATGCATGACCGTCCAGGGCTCTCATTTTA